TTTCACTTCATGATGGTCAAAATTATGGTATTAAAATTGTTATGAATTAAATTAAAAAAAAGAGATATTTTGATCAAAAATAAAATTTAGGCATATTTTCTCAAAAAAAATAAACTAAGTTATATGTATATGAAAAATATGATCACATTGATCCTGTAGGGATCTGACGGTCTAGAGGAGACAAAACAATAATGAAATGCCCGCCGACATAAGGCCTAAAGACTCACAAAGTCGACCGGATATACTGCACTTATAAAATACCAGGAGTATTTTGTGACGGCCTCATTAAAGTAGGTTATAAAAATAAATAAAAGATCATTCTATGAATAAAAAAGGAGATCATTCAATGAATAAGATAAGTCAAGAGGCCGGGAAAGACGCAATCATTGTCTCTCTCTATTTTCTCTTCTCTTATGCTCTATTTTCTTAAGTTGTGATTCACAGATGAATCAAGATTCAATATCTTAAACTGTGTAGTGAATGTGGATCATGTCACAAACAAGAAGAGAAACAGACACAGACAAAAAACCGACAACAAAAACAAAAACAACATGGAGTGCACCTGAGAATTTGTGAACCAACAAATACAATAGTTGAATGATCAATTATTGGATGTCATTTGACATGCGTTGGATTGGGGAAGAGAGTAGTACCTCAGATAGGAAGGGCCAATACTGATCAAACAACATCAATACTTTGGCAGTGCCTGGTTGGCACCAATCGACCATCTGACGATCAACATCAGCTTGACACATTGAGGCGCCCTGAAATCCAGAGAATGCATTCTCTCGGCAAATCTTCGAAACCGAGCACCAACGAGGTTCAAGATCTCGACAGTAGAGTCCTACAAAGGCATAACTGATGCAACCAACTATATAGCCTCATTTGAGTGGACAGTGTGTCTATTGAGGACTAATGACGTACAAAAGTGTCATCTTCTCTTCGCCGCGTTGGGAGGTTGACCCTCTGATGTTTCAACACCTTACCACCAAGAGTGATCACATCATTCGCCGACTTAAAGTGAATATTTGTGGCGCAATTTGCTACGCTTGAAAGCCTCATAAAAGTTCGCAGGTCATCCTGCAGATTCGACAAGAACATAGCAAGGGCCTCCACTAGTTCATCACATGCTTCTAGAACAAGATGTTGGAAGTATGGGACTTGGAGCCCGCGGTAGCCCATGCTGCCCTGACTCAAGAGCTAAAGGAAGGACCGTTCTTTTATGCATTGGGACTGTAGTGACCGCAAACTCTAGCCAAGCAGTTGGAACTAGCCAACAATCACATATCAACAGACAAATGCAACTCCCATCTATTAAGAACTGAGTGAGCCAACCGCCATTCACCTAAAAGAACCACCCATGAAGAAAGGTGGGAACCGAGGCACGATCCTCACCACTCAACTCAAGCTCGCCTTGAAGACTCATAATGATACTCAGATTACCAAGTGACTGACATAGTGTACCACTTAGGGAGTGAGGACCGATATCCTTACTAGTGATAAGAATGTGTTATCGTTACAAATCTTTTATTCTATTTTCAAGTTCATAAAAAATAAAAAAATTTCCTAGTTGTGCACATAATCTTAGGTTTGATTGACAACTGCGAACTTGGGGAGTTCCGGTTCTACCAGGAAACGATTAACACTCGGGGAACTCGGGTTGACTCTTTAGCAACAGTTCATTTAAACAAACAAAACCGACAACAATGCTCAAAGTCCGATTGATTCGATTTTCTTAAAAGTCCGACAACGAAAAATCATTTTCAAATTTACAAAATTCACAAGAACCGACTTTCAATGCTCAAGTATGGTCACACATAGTAAAAATCTATCTCTTATCTCAAAGCGGGTCAAGGTCTGACAGCAATTCCCTACCCGTGAGCGACAAGATCTGCAACGGGTATCATATGAATTCCCTAGACAAGTCTTGACGGTTACCCCGCGAAGGCTGCAACAATATCCGCTTAATATGCATGGCGAAAGGTGCGAGCCATATAAGGCGACAACTTGTCCGAACAATCGAAACATAGGAAGTGTAAAACCTGAACATGACAGTAACTCAACAAAACCGACCAAAGACATTCTTAAAAAAGCTGACTCATCAAACCTCACAAATCAAACATATATCACGAGAAAAATAAAATTGCAAATAAAAGAAAATTGCGAAAAACTCGGGTGAAAACCAACTGATAACTTCACTTTATTTCTCGCATGTTTCTATACAAATACTCAAAAAGAAAAAAAAAATTCTATAAATTACAGATAAAACCAAAGTCAATCAAGCTCGGCTAACCAACAACGCTGACCGAACCAATCCTGCCGTCTTGAAGACCCTGTGACAGTACTTCAGAGCCATCGAAACAGAGCAACACAAAAGACGCAAAAATCATGGGAGTTCAATTATTGAGTCATTAAATATAATAAAAAATTTTGAATTAAAATTCATTTATTCACATCGTAGTTTCACTCTCAAGAAGTAACAAAATCAAGGAACTAAATATATTCTTAAATAAATCTGACGTGTACATGAGACGATAACGACAAAGGAAGATTCAACAACAAAAGGCTCAAAGGCTCACAAAGCCGACCACATTCATTCAGATGAACCAAGGCTCACAAAGCTAATCAGATATATTAAACAAATAAAATAACAAAAATATTTTATAACGCGCTCAACTAAGTATGGTTAAATATATAATATCACTAGATTGTACCATCTCCCTTCTATAAATAGAAGATCATTTCATAAATAAGATGTGTCCCATAGGACCGAAAAAACCACAATTATCCCATGTTACTATTTATCACAATGCACTCTTCTTAATATCTCTCTCTTCTTATCTTAGTCTCTATTCCCTGAAGATGAGATTAACAGACAAATCAGTATTCACGTTATATTTCTCCAATTTTACGTTTATATATGATGGAGACACGGAGGTCAAGGGCGCTCTGCTGCATGGAATCTGCAGCGAAGTTGCTCAGAAATCCTCAAAGTTCCCCTTTTTCGTCAGCTATAACCATGACTAAACTCTTTCTTCGACCGAATTGACCCTCATCTACAATTTGAGTCTTAATTATGTAAATTCCAAAAAAAAAAAAAAAAAAAACAAGAAGCAGCCAAGAACTTACACTTGACACCCATCTTCAGTATAAATCAGAAGCTGGATCAGAACTGAAAAACCAAACAAGATGAAGAGATCGCAGCAAACCTCAGCATCGAAAATCGTCTCCAAACTCAGCCTTCTCTTTCTCGTTGCCTGCGCGGCGGCAACTGTCTACAACGCGCGGCGCAATCCGCTGAATTTCGGCTTCGTGGTGTTTGTCTACGCGACGCATGCAGCGCTGCTGGCGTGCAAGTGGTGGTGGGAGAAGCGGGAGGAGGCGTAGCGCGGGCGTGGTGTGTTGGATGGCCGTGATTTTGCCGACGCGGGAAGCGGTTTGGGTTCTGGTCGTCGTTCTCTCTGTTGTCATTGGAGTATTATATGGTCTGACGCTGTACGGTTTGCCGGCTGAGGTTGGGGATGAGAAGAAGGTTTGTGCTGAACAACGAGCCTGATTATGGAGACAGTATTGAGTTCATGGATAAAATATTATGTACCTCGTGTACGCAGAGTTGTGTAGTTTAGGGAGATTATTCAGAGGATATTGAGGGCATGGCATATATCAGCATTATACTTCTTGTAACTTCCTTGTAACCTATCTATAACCTACAAATAAATTTCGCACTTCATTTTCATATATTTTTATGTTACCAATAGTTTACAGCAAGGTTATAAAAGTTATAACGCAGATATAAACCTCCAATACCATCTGTATAACATCCTGACGTACGCAGCGCTGCGTACGTCATACGAATGCAAAATTTTCTCCTCGTGTACAGTCGAGTATGATAGCCTGATCCTTTTGAAGAGATTGCAACATTTTTTTTTTTTGTAATTTATTATAAAATTATTATGGAGAGAATAAAATTTTTCAAAATTATAATGAATAATAATTAAAAAAAATATTTATTCTCACTATTAAAAATTTCAAGACCATTTACATATATACCACATTATTCTTATGTATTTACAATATCAAACACCTAAACTTTTATATTTACACACATTACAGTCAAATATTTAATATTACTTCAAAAATATCATTATTGCTTTCTAGATGTGAAATACATGTGCTCATACATAATTTTAAAACACCAAAGTGTTATAAATATAAATATTATTATTTATTTTTTATGTCAGATTTATAAATACATAGGATTTGTGTGGTATGTATGTAAATATCAGATAAGCAGATTTTCAGCAGCCAGAAATGTAATCAAAGGCTAGAGAAAAATCAGATCTCATCACAAACCAAAGCATGGGATCATGGCGCAGGAGCAGCCTGATTGCTAAAATAAATATGGCATTTACATACATACCCTCCAATTCCTATGTATTTACAAAACTAACACCAAAACTTTTCTTTCTTTACATTTAAATCACCCAAATCTTTCATATCACAAGAAAAATACCACTATTTTAACTCGAGTAAAATACACATTTTCGTGCATCAAGTTAGGCAGCATATAAGAAGTTTAGGCGCTTGATATGTAAATACATAAGAACTGAGTGGTATGAATGTAAATCTTCCAATGAAGAAAAGGTTATCTGATGGTACAAAAATGAAAATAGGGGCATTTGCATACATACCATATAATCCATTTATATTTACATATATCTAACACCTAAACTTTCAATGACACCAAAATATCATTAATGTAAAAAAATCAAAGTTTAGGTGTTAGATTTGTAAATACATAAAACTTGGGTGGTATATAAATAAAAAAGCAGCAGTTAGATTTAAAATAACTGAAGAAAAGACAGAATAGCCATGTTCAAGAAGATCTGCCACAGTATGCTGATATCCATGAATGTTTGTTAGATGTTGTAGAAAGAATGACCAAAATCACAGTTTCACATTGTATAATAATAATAATAATAATAATAATATAATCAAGTGAGAGCTGGTTAGACGTATATTTCGACTGCAAAATGCGACGCAAATTAATGAAAAATAATTGATGTGCGGGTTATATACGCAATTATATTTGATGGTGATGATGGGAGTACAAAATTATGTTTCTCACTATGTACTCTGGTATTGCCATACAGAAAGAGGTGCTGGTAAGAAATTTGCACCTAATAATTTCTGGCAGCTACTAACATGCGCATCCTCTCCCAGGCTCAGGTTCTGAAACTGGTTCCGGAATGTTCTGGAAATATCTGCGAGTGTTGGCAATGACATTGCATGTTGAGAAATTATTAGAGATTTAAATACATACCATACAAATATTATGTATTTACATATCTAACATCTAAACTTTGATATTTACTTATCTAACGCTACAAACGCAAAAAAAAAAAAAAAATGAAATAAAAAATTATAACAACAAATACAAAAAACCACCCCCTTATTATGCTCTGTTAGGGATTACTGATCGACAACAAGAGAGCAATCCTTAACCCTTTTTTTCACTTTTTTTATATGACTATTTGGGGGAGCTATTTATATACAAAATTGCATTAAAAAAAATGAAATAAATAATTACAATACCAAATACAAAAGTCACCCCTAGTTATCCTGTTATTTGATCTATTTAGGGATTCTGATCTATTTATGGATTACTAATTGATGACAAGAGAGCAATCCATAACTTTTTTTGTCTTTTTTTTATATGAATCATTGGGAAAGGTATTTAGCAGTAAGGAATCCATGGACTCTAATTTTTCTTATATAGCACTCCCACTGGCTCTCACTGATCAGATGGCTCAAGTAGGGCTGTCAAAAAAGCTCATTCGTGAATAACTCGTGCTCGGCTCGTTAAGTAGCTCGTGTTCAATTCGTTCGTTAAGAAAACGAGTCGAACATGGATACATTTTTTTGAGCTTGAATTACAAATGAGTCGAACAATATCAATCTTTTGTTCGATCGCGTTCGACTCGTTTTATCTCGAAAAAAATTATATGTAATATTATTTATATATAAGTTTAAATCATAAAAGATCATGTGATCATATGATTTTGTGCCTACTATTGCACATATTTGGTGTAAGTTCGAATCCAACACCCTAAATTTATTTTCTAATTAATTTAAATGAGTAAATTTCAAGCTAACACAAACAAGAATATGTAAATCAAGTCGAACATAAACACACTATTCACGAGCAATTCTGAACACGAGCCAATTCTGAGCTCGATCAAACTTGGCTCATTTACAACCCTACCTTCAACATCCATCTAGTAAGATATTTTGACAGCCATATCAACCCCTCATGATTAAAAGGAACCAACCATTATAAAGTGCAACCATTTCCTTCTCAGATATGCCCAATAAAAACCAGATAAATTAGTGGTCAACCTCTACCGTCTCCATATGCTATAGAAAATGTTTGAAATTGTTCTATTTGAAATTGTTCTACCTAGCCTGAAATGAATTTTGTAGTGGATTGGAGCACATTATAGATTATATGAGTGTCAAATTGGGCTTGCGGCTTAGTTTCCCATCTCGACACAAAATTGATCTAAGTTGAAATTGCTTGACCCGAACCCGACTCAAATATTAAATGTGTCTGAAAATACAACTAGAATCCAGCCCATATAACATATTTACCATAAGGCATAATAACAATTCATGTCAATTTTGAGTAAAATTCAGTTTGATTGAGTCAAATTAAGGTAGCAGGTCACTTTTGAGTAAATTTTGGGTTAGCAGGTCGATTTTAAGTTGATAGGTCAACCAAAACCTAACCAAAAAATTAAACAGGCTCGTATTAATAACCCAAACCAACCTAAAAATTATTCAGGCCAACTCAAACCTGGATTTATTTAGCCGAGTTTGGGTTGAGTTGGCGCATCGAATCAATTTTTGACACTCCTAATAGATTATAAGATTCATTTTCCAAGATACAAGAGGCAAATATTGATTTAAATTAGACAAAATCTAAACCAAAGGCCAATATACATATAAAAAAGCATTAATGCATTAGCTCTTGAAGTTGCATAATATATTGGGTCCACTAGTATTATACTCTATGGTTTCTACAGGTTATCGCCCACTACAGCGGAGAACGCTGCAACAAGAGCAAAACAAAAGTTGTTGGTTTAAATTAAGGGGCATTCAATTCCTGCGCAATTACATATCTAACACCTAAATTTTATTTTAACATTAACACCACCCAAATCTTTCATATCACATCAAAAATTCCATCATTTTAACTTTTAAAATATGAATATACAGCTTTTCATCCATAGGTTAGGTAGCGTATTTTAGTTTATATTATTTATGATTAAAACAAATATAAATACAATTTATAATTTATTCGTTAACTTTTTTTTTTTATTTTAATTCATGTTTCTTAGAGCATCGTAGGGGGATTAAGGCTTTGTTGTTGTTGTTGTTGTTGTTGTTGTTGTTGTTGTTTCTTAGAGCATCAAGACAATAAGCACTGCTCTCGGTTTTGACATGCATGCAAGGATTCTGGATCGCTGCTAAGATTTATATGGTAGTTACATGATAGGTAAATATAAATGTGCTGCCCAGTCGAACTTTTTCAGGGCATTGTCCATCAAACCTAATTCAGAGTTCTTTTATTACAACCCAAGAAGACAATGAATAAATAAATAAATAAATAAAAACCCAAGGTGTATGATGTCTAGGCCTAATCATTAACTATGGTTGCATAAACTAGCGTCTTACATTACCATGGTCTACAATAGCACAAACAATAGACTGTTTAATCGAAATGTTCAGGTAGAAAATCTTATCCATATCATCCTTTTATGCCATTTAATGCATAAAATTTCTTCTGGAGACAGATAGTTCGCCGAAGAATTCTGAAGAGTTATAACTTTCTCCATGCGTCCATAACAATTCTTTCATCGACAACTTTAGTGACAATTCTCCAAGTAAACTTTCTTCAACTTTTAGGATTACTTATTCTGATAAAGCTGAATTCAAGCCTTGGTGCATAAGAAGTAGCTTCATTTTCAGCTTCCAAATGCTGAAAGCCTGAAATCATTTTACTGAAAAACTTTTCAATCACAATCTTGGCCATGGACTTCTTGATTTTATAAACATGCACAAAGCCAGCAAGAAATTGCTCTTACGTTTTTTTTTCTTTCTTTTTAATCATTTCAACAGTTCTCCAATACCAGCAACGGGTAGTCACAGGATTTTCTTATGATAGCAATTTTCACCTACAAATAGCCCATCAACAGCCCCACCTCCTCTAAATCTGACCCGGGTGCAATACACTCCCGCGCGGGCGGGAGCAGCAGATCGGGCCGACCAGTCCAATTGAGGGCCTGCCTAGGAAGAACTCCCACCCCTCTCCTCATTCCTTTTCTGCTTACCCTTCCTGTAGGAGTATTTATTTGCTGTTTTCAGAGTTTAGGGTTATGTGTGTAGTCTTCTTTCATATTTCCTTCATGAACCTGTTTTCCCCTTTCTAGAGCTTGAATCCTTGAAAGATGGTGGTGCTCCGGTTGTATCCTACTCCAAGGTGGCATTGTATCCTTCCCTTTCACCTTCCCCAATCCTTATCCTCTCCTACCCCCTAGCCGCTGGCTTTCCCCCTAGCCGCTGGCTTGCTGCCAGTTTTTCCTGCCGCTGTTTTCCCTCACCAGCAGCACTCCCATGGTCTTTCCCATTGCTACCTGCACTTACCCGCTCACTATGCACCCTCCTAAAGTGCCGGCGAGCCTTCCAATCTATTGTCTCACATTCCCAGCTCGCTACCCCACCATCCAACCTACCTCCTAGTCACCCAACAGACCTTCCCGCCACTCTACCCTGCTGCCTCCCTCTTCCATTTCACCTTCCAACCCCTATCGGCCCCTCTCTTGCCTTCACCCTTGCTGTCCTATGCCTCCAGATACACCGAACCAACCTCCACCGCCCATGGGATACACTTTCAATGTGTTTGATTGTGTCGTCATATGTTTTATATTGTTATCATTTATTTTCTATTGAAGAGTCATCGTTCTATCCTATTTAAATTTCAATAATAATATTTGTATTTCTTTTGTAGTTTGGGCTTCAATCCTCCTCCGGTATCAAAATCATTATGACAAAATTTCCTCTGCCTGGGAAATGGAACTTCTCTTCATGATCGAGCTAAGTTGAGCCAAATGTGCCATGGATTGAACTTGGCTTGGTTATATTATAAGTTCATATTCGACTCGAGCTCGATCCAAGCTTTCACATGTATTTTAATACTTGGCTTGTTTAAATTTTTTAACAATTATACTTGATTTGTACTTGGCTCATCTACTTTAATTGAACAAGTATTTCAAAGTTAATAAATAAGCTAAAATAATTTAGAGCACTTGCAAGTTTTTCTGATCTCAAAAGAGAGATTTAATTATATTTAAAGCATTTGCATGTTTTTCTAGATTATCGCAAGCTTCTATATGCGAGGAATTTTAAAGTGACTTTATTTTATTTTAGGCCACACTATATTCTTAGATCATATATTTGAGCATTCAGTAGGTTGGATCACACACACGCACGTAAACTTTGGAAACTTTACTATGTTTTAGAAGACTTGCACAATGTTCAAGAAAATTTGCATGTCTTTCGAAGTGATATATTTCAAGAATGTCTCACAAAGCATGTGCAAGATCTCCAATATCCTGATACGTGCCAAAGCTTCATTTGGAAGTATGCTTGTTAACTCATTTTGCGGATTTGATAGGATAAAGACAAATTGGAATCATGTTCACAGTTCAAAGTAGTACGTTTATTGTTTGCAGCCCATGGTTTATTAAGTTTTGAATATCAAAAAGGAGATCTACTTCATCCTCGTATACAAGCTGTTGGGTCTTAATCTTGCTCGTAAGATGGCGATCAAGTTATGCAGTTGCTCAAAAGAGAGCTACAAATTCATTGCAAGCCCCTTTGTTATTCAATTACGTGTTCAATTTAGGTCGCCTTTAGTTCCTCTAAAATGAAGTTCGACAGTCAAACCATTCATTTGAAAACTCATGTTCATATACGCAAGTGAACAAAAATTTCATCACAAGTTCTGTCTGTGCTCGTTGACGAGCTGTTAATCCCTTATTGTCCAGTAATGTGTTTATTTTCTGTTCAAAATCTTATTCTTTTAGACCAATTTGAATGACAATTTAAGCATTTCATTTTGTTCTTAATTTTGCATTTTATTTCCTTCATTTTACATTTTTTTGCGTTTAATGAGTTCTTCCAACTCTTATTTGCCGAGGGTCTGTTCGCTCTAAATTTCTGCAAAATTCAAGCGTCAACTACCCCAGAAGGATGATGCAATGTTATAGAAACAGTATGATTTACATATTCCTAGAATTTTACTACTGCCAAATACTTTCTTCATTGAGCTCAACATTACACCTGATGCAAGACGCCTTGCATCAAAGTACACTCAACTTTGAGACAAGTTAACAATGTTCCTCTTCATATTATCAACATTTACCATGTTGCATATTGTACTTCACTCCAACATGGCTTGCAGGTAGAAGATTTAGTGCAGGAAGCCAGTAACAAAGTTACCGTCAAAACCAGGACATATTTAATCAATATTTCCATGCAGTACTTTGGCCCAACAACCCTATTATATAGCACTATTTGGACTCTACAAATAAAAGGTCATCCTTACTAAATCCATACTTCTTATTGCCTGAATTAAGCCATTACCTAAGAAGAATTTTATTCATGTTCTAAGAAGACCTCCAATTTGAGCTATTATTCCTCATTTTAATGCCTTCAACAAAAGATAGTGGCATCTTGTCTTCATCCCCTTGACGCTACATTGCTTTAATTTCTTAAAACTCATTATTCTGCAATATAAATATAAACTGAAACATTACGTTTTAGGAAGATTTACATACATAACACTCAATTCTTATGTATTTACATATCTAACACTTAAATTTAAATTTTTACATGCATGCCACCTATGTATTACATATCTAACACTTACAGTTAAATTTTTACAAATATACCACCTTGCCTGTGCATAAAAGGCGTATTTCACTTTTTAAAATTTAAAATGGTGATTATTTTGTCAAGTCTAAGGGTCTGTTTGGGGCAGCAACAGCTTATCCAGATAATCAGTTTATCCTGATAAGCTGGTGATAAGCAGCTGATCCGGATAACCTGTCTGTCTGTTTGGTTTGTGAGTTTGGAAAATAACTGATCCTGGATAAATAACCATTATGCCCTTGTTTCTAATATAAGTTGTTTGGTTTGTGTGTTTTGTAAACAACTTATTTGCAGATTTTTTTAGTTAAATTAACAATCTGGCATGCAAAATTTATAATGTTATCTACAAAACTGCAATATTTATCCCTTAGATATTTTAGAATCAATTAAACCCCTTCAAACTCATTCGACACCAACATAGCACCCAAAAATTTACTCATTTCCCAATCAGAAACATGAAAATACAAAAGAGTTGAGTTGTGTGTATGTAAAACTTTCAAAAACAAATTCTAGAGACACAAACATAATATCTTATGGGAGAAAGTTCAAGCTGCTAGAAAATATTCTTAATTTAAAACCTTGAATCAACATCTGTTTTATCTCCGGGATGGAGATTGGTCCGCCGTTAGTGGATTTGAATGTGAGTGTTTCAGTGGAGAGGATTCCAGAGGAGAACAATCCTTCTCCGTAGCAATATTCGTAGGAACAAAATGGGGCTTGCGTCGGGATTGGAGGAGGGGGGGGGATTGGAAGGAGGAAGAGAGAAATGGGTTAAAAAGATGAACTTTGCGGATTAATCAGTCGGAATAGGGGAGGCAATGAAGCCACATAAGGTCGCTGTCGGTGTCCATGTCAGTGATGACTTGGACCGGGGGAGTTCCGATGGATAATCGTATGAGGTGGTCGGTGTTGTGGGGGATGATTGGGGAGAGGATGGTGGAAGGGGAGGAGAGGGTTTGGCTGATTGATAGAGCGTGAGAAGCCTTGGATAAGAGATGGCAGAGGTGGGGAATGGCGAAGAGGTTGGTGGCAGATTGGAGGAGAAAATCCTTACCTTCTTCGATGGTTTTTGGTCGGAGTGGAGCGGAGGAATGAGAAGGATGGGAGTTTTGGTGGTCTCTGCAGGCAACCATCCCTTCGCCTTTCCAGCGAAGCTCGATTGTGAGCTTAGAGAGGAAGGGCTCGCGAGAGCTTCGGTGGCTTTGCAGGCAGCGATCCCTTCGATGGTCTCTGCCGGCAGCGAGAGCTTCGCGTTCGGGGACAAGGCAGCCTCACCAAAATTTTTCGCAAATGCGGACCTCAGGGTCTGACCCGCAGCGGGCGTTTAATGTAAAATAAAAACTCCATTTTCATATAAGTTTTCGGAACGCACTATCCAAACGATGAGCTGGCGCGGCATTTTCAAAACGCCGCCGCAGCCACAAAGCTACCCCAACCACACCCTTAATTCACTTTCATTTCCCAAGTAAAGGTCAACCATATCCCTAACTGGAAAAAAAATGTTTTAGTGTTTGCTAAAAAAGCTTCAATAGCAATCGAGAATATAACATGAGAAAAATCATGGGTTGCAAAGAAAAAAGATTTGCATTAGAAAAGGGACATTGCTTCATCATGATTAAAATTAGAGTAAACTTACATATCATGATCACGGTTTTTCTCAAGTGCCATTTTTGCAATGCGAAGAAAAGCTGAATCAACATTGTAGTCTTCCTTTGCAGACGTTTCAAAGTAAGGTATATTCCCACGGGAAGCACACCATTCTTTTGCTTTCTTCTCAGAAACCTAGATGAGCTTGAAGAATTAAAAAGACTAGGAATAAAAAATAAAGAATATTGGAAGATTTACATACCACTCAATTCCTATGTATTTACATATCTAACACCTAAACTTTAATTTTTACATACCTATCCCCTTACCAATCTATGAAAAAGGTGTAGTCACTTTTTAGAAGTTAAAATGGTGATACTTTTGATGGCATATGAAAGTTTGTAAAGTGTAAATGTAAAAAGTGAAGTTTACGTGTTGGATATGTAACTACAAAGGATTTGAGAGGTATGTGTGTAAATGCCCCCAAGAATATGTTATAAAGAAGAATAAATTCCAGATCCTTACCACCCTGCTGTTCCCGCCATCAACATCAACCTTGTTTCCAACGAGAATAAATGGAAATGTACCAGGATCAGAAGGACTAGCCTGGAATACAATGAGATGGATAACAATTAATAATGATGAGATAAGTTTGCCAAGCAACATAAAACATAACTACCAAATCCATAATAAAAAGTATAATGCATATAGTGCCACCTAACAGTTAACGTGAAAGGGAAAGAAAAAAAGTATTAAGAAAAGGGAAATTTATACGTAGCGCACGATTCTTATGTATTTACATATCTCGCGCCTAAACTTCCATATTTACATAGTAATTTGATGCTTTAAACCTGTGTATGAAAATGTGCACTTCACTCTTAAAAAATGATAGAGGTGCTAATTTTGATGTGCTATTAAAGATTTAAGTGTTATGTGTTTAGGTGTGAGATATATAAATTCTAAGGCAAGGCCGGCATTAGTGGGTTATACTGCGTTATTCATATATCCAAATTTTAAAGTTCAAAACCTAAAAGTCGGATGTCTTACCAGTCTTGTTCAATTTCTTTGTTTTCAAACTGATGTTAGATGAGTGTCATTAAAGAACCATTACCACCTTCAATTCCAAAAATACTTTTTTTTAAGAATCTTCTAACATAATATAGGTTTTGTTAGAAGTTATATTAAGAAATAATTTATTACTATTAGAAGTTATGAGGATTGGATTTATTACCTTGAATTGAATTTATTTACTTTCCTATTTTATGTCGTTTCCTTTATCTTCAAGTAATTATTATGATTTGATTAATTGGAGATATAGATGTTATATATATTGCATTTTGGGTTATTTGTTTTTTGTTGTATTTCTTATTCTAGGATTCATGTAAGAGTATTTATAGCCCCTTTTAACATCAATAATATAATTCCACTGAATTCTAAAAATCAAAATGGTATCAGAGCCAAATTTCCTACCCTAGCCCACGGTCCTCCCTCTAGGGCAGCCAGACTACCTTCCTAACATCCTCCATGCAAGAAGTGAGGAATGCTCTCTCCTTGCAGCTTGTCCACAGGCCCTTGTAGACATAGTAAATCCTTGCAGCCCCTCTGAATCACTGCTTCCTTTTTTCTTGTGATCTCGCACGATTCTCTCCCTTTCAGGTCTGCTGAGTCGGGAGCTGCGACTTTGCCAGGCTCCAGATAGCGAGAGTTTTCATTTCCAGGGAAAATATCGATTCTCAAGCGCGAGTTTCTCTCATTAGTGGAAATCCCGACCTTGCGGAGGCGGCAACATTCTCTCTCTAGCAGAAATCCCGGTCTGCCCATCGAATTTAGTGACACTTTCCAGCGAAAATAAAGGAGGACCTCTTTTCCCTGTTTTCCTCACCGTTGGTTCTCCCATCTCCACTGATCTTTCCTGCGGGATTTTCCAGCCGTTGGACTTCCTCCCAATCTCCTTCTAGAACCGCTGGGGCACATACCTGCAACCATTTCCACAGCTAACACTCTCTTTTGCAGTCTTTCCCACCGCCGAAACTACCTTAGCAAATTTTCCCATGCAGATTTCAGGCAACTAGACCCCTTCCTGCATACCTACCGGTCGTTGGACCTATACCTATCACGTAAACCTCCTCTCAAGACTGCCAAAGCTCTCCCTGCAAGTCCCTAATAGCCGAAAATCATCTCTGTCGGCCGGAAAACTTCCCTGCATACCTTACACATGCATGTATTATAGAAACAACGAGAAGCTTGTTATAGACGAGTTCATCTTTGGTTTCCTTTCAAAAAGACTTCAGGAAGGTTATTACAGAGGCGAGACAATATGCATCCTTGAATGAAATACCGGCAGTCGACCAACACGCTCTTCTCAATCGGTTTCTTCCCTACTGCCAAAAAACACTATGCAGGTCCTTCTCAATTTTTTTCCTTTATCATAGAAGGCTAAAGTTTTCTTGCAGCAAGCCTCCTTCTGAACTTTTTCTTGAACCAGGACTTCCTCCAGAGTTATTCCTGCAGCAAACCCTCCTTCAGAGCTTTTCCTACAGCAGAACCACCTCCGAAACCTTTTTCTTGCAGCAAGCTTTCCTCCAGAGCTTTACCTGCAGCAGACCTTCCTCCAAAGCTTTTTCTGCATCAGATCCTCCTTAGAGTTTTTTTTTTTTTTTTTGTAGCAGGCCCCCCTCTGAAGTTTTTCCTGTAGCAGGTCCTCCAAAGGAATTCTTCATGGAGCATGCTCTCCTACAAAGCCTTTTCCTGCATCAAACCCTCCTTCAGAACTTTTCCTGCATCAAACTCTTCTTCAGAACTTTTCCTGCATCAAGCCCTACTCGGAATCTTTCCTGTAGCAGACCCTCCTCTAAAGCTTTTCATGTATCAAGCCCTCCACCGAAACTTTTTTCCATATCAAGCTCTCCTCCGAAGTTTTTCCTGCAGCAGGCCTCCACGTGAATTCTTCCTACAACAAACCCTCTTCTGGAGTCTTTCCTGCAACAAGGCCTACCTCCAGAGCTTTTCCTTTTTTTCTGCATGCCATACATTACAGCTTTTTCTGTTGGTTGTAAGTTATATAAGGAAATAAATTTAGCCCTGTTAGAAGTTATAATGATTGGATTTATTTCCTTTCTTATTATAGGCTTTTCTATTTTATGTAATTTCTTTTTATCTCCAAGTAATCATTATGAATTGATTAATTTGAGATATAGGTGTTATATCTTTCCTTTCAAACTATTTCATTTTTCATGTCTTTCCAATTCTAAGATTCATTTAAGGGTATTTGTACCCCTTTTCATATCAATAATATAATTCTTTTTTAATTCTAAAAATCATCAATTTCACTATACCTCATTTGTTGTTACATACTAAAAGGCAGATGATATAGTTTGATTTATTAGTATTAAATAAATTTCAAACTTCAACTAACATCAAAATGGTACAACCACAAGCATTCTAACGGACGGCTTGTCTAACTTTAACCAAGTAATTTTAGACTTAGTTATATACACATCGATAGCTCCATCTTATGAACAGTAAATAAAAGGCTTTTAAACTTTGTATAGTTGTGCATTATTTTATCTTCTATCATCATTGGTTGATCTATTTTCATGCCAATCAAATTGGCATACCATATGCCAAGTTCTGTATGTTCTAAGTCCCATAAACTTTGAATGTTTTACGTCCGTTTATAGCAAGTGAGCCCAAAAATATGATTAAAAAATTGGAAAATTCACAGAAATAGCACTCAAATCTTATATATTTACATATCTATGATCAAACACCAAAACTTCAATTTTTACATATGAAAAGCTAGATTTCACTTTTTAAAAATTAAAACAGCAGTATTTTTATGTGATGTGAAAGATTTGGGTTGTGTAAATGTAAAAAGTAAAGTTTAGGTGTTAGATATGTGAATACATAGGAATTGGGAGGGGTATTTCAATGCTTCTTAAAAAATTGATGGTGCATCGCTTTATACTATGTACAAGCATTTCGATGAAATACGAGGCCATCTCAGCATTCAGCAATGAAAAAAATCAACAAGAAAATGGATCAATTGAGTGATTAAAGGGAGTTTTTGTCAGTATAACGGCATTGAATAAGTTCATATAAGGTTCTCTTCAATCCAAAATGTTTAACATTTTTGCAAAATATAAATTGTAAAAATATCTTTAAATGCTTCTCAAAAGGTTTCTAAGGACACTAATAAAAGCAAAAAATAATCGCAAAGGTTAAATTCAGATAATTAAGAAAAACATTAGTATAATGAAACTCAACCAAATTCTCACTATCATCAACAAAATCTGTCAAATTAACAAACATACCAGGTATAGTAAATTATATTACTTCATAAAAATGGAATTGAGGAAGAAGAACACAAGCAGTATATAAGCAAACTTAATTCACAAACCTGTTTCAGAAATTCATCATGCCAATTGTCAAGAGTATCAAATGATCTAAGAACATTAACATCATAAACTAGGATGCAGCAATCCGCTCCTCTGTAGAATGCAACACCAAGACTCTGAAATCTTTCCTGACCTGCTGTATCCCATATCTAGCAGAAAATGACATTAAGAAAAAGGTTAGGAAGATTTACACGCATACCACCCAATTCTTATGTACTTACATATCTAACACCTAAACTTCAGTTTTTTACATACATGCCACCTTCCCTATGCATGACAAGGCGTATTCACTTTTTAAAAGTTAAAAATGGTGGTATTTTTTATGTCAAATGAAGGATTCGGGTGGTATAAATGTAAATATTAAATTTAGGGTATTAGATATGTAAATACATAAGAATTGGATGGTATTTATGTAAATGCCCCAAAAGGATAAACCATCAGTTAGTTCATACAGCATCTCATTTAGAAAGGTAGAAACCCTACTTGCAAAGTTACAAGTCTATCATCAATCTGGATCTCTTTGGTGACGAAATCTGCACCTATCGTAGCCTTGTACTGTTGAGTGAATTTCTTGTGTACATATCTATTTGATAGGTAAAAGAAACAAGAGATGACATAAATAGAGAAATCTCCTACACATCAAAGGAATACAAAATGCACAGCTTGCCTTCACAGTTCCATTATAAAAGCACCATACTCTGGATGCTCCCTATGCAACAACACATGAAAATTGACCATCATTCTTTGATGATTGCTATACAAAAGTCAAAGAAGTTAAGCCAATGTCTAATTCCTGAATTCAAAAAAGCTCCAGAACACATAATTCCCAGAGAAGCCGTCTGTAATTACAATTTTTCAGAACATAATTTTACAGTATCTCTAAATAATTAAATTAGCCAAAAACGTCAAGTTTTTCTAACCTCAAAAGCATTTTATCGAAACAAGAAAACCAAAAGTAATTCAGTAATTTTGCATGATTTACAGGGCAAGTAAACCCCTACAAATAACCCAGCACATCCAATATTAGAGCCATATCAACAATCGGATCAAAAAATTTAAAACCCTAGAACATCCAGCGTCCATTGCAATGCTACGAAAATAGCATGCATGCCATAGTTAACAGATCATGCAAACAAAATAGCTCAAGCTCAAGGATACTGATTCATCAGCGACGTCTTCCCCACTCTGGATTTTCAACAAGAACACGACAATTAGGAAACGGCGAAAACAAAGCAACAATGAACAATCAGTCAGTCCCAAGGAAAACAAAAAGAAAACTCCTAAGAACTAGAACAGAATGATGATCCGTGGCAAGAATACGGTACAGAACCCATGATCGAAAGCAAAAAAAAAATGGAAAAAAAAAAAAAAAAAAAAAACTCACCCAACAAACCTAGAACGATGACCTTTAGCAAGGTCCGCCTCCTGGTGGTCATGGCTTAAGGGACCGAGTGCCAGTGAAAGAACCTAACGGAACCGCGGGTCTCACAGAAGCAGAGGAGGAGGAGAAGGAGGAGGACGAGTTGCCGCCGAGGCGTCGTTGTTGTCACATGAAAATGGGCCGGCTTCCGTGTGATCGTTATCGCCGCCGAGCTTTCTAGTTCAAATTGTAGTTGGATATAGAAATAAAATAATAATATAGTTATAATCCTTTGAGATGTTTCTCTTTCATTTTTGGGGCATTTATATGTATACCACTTGATTTTTATGAATTTACATATCTAACAACTAAATTCAACTTTTTAGATTTATAACCTCCAAATCTTTCAGATCATATTAAAAAATATTACTATTTTAATTTTTATAAATTGAAATATATCTTTTCATGTAGAGGTAAGATGGCATATATGTAAAATTTTAAGTTTAGATGTTTGATATGTAAATACATGAGAATTGAGTGGCATTTATATAAATATTCCTTCTAAATAATATAATTAATAAGATTTTTATCTTAAAATGAAAAATTATAATGTAAAAGTAGGCTTTTTTAAAGGAGTTGGAAAATATGACTCTGGTGTCATCTCGAGAGAATATTGCATTCGGACTCCGGACGTAAATTTGTGTCTGGAGTCCAGCGGAGCATTGCCACATGGCAAGTGAGACTCATTGTAATGCACTGGATGAGTAGGTTTTTTAGAGAGGTGGGATCCACTTGGCATGTGGCACATTATCACTAGACTGTGGACGCAAATTTTACATGTGAAAGTCCGATGTAATATTTTTTCGTCATCTACATTTAATTTTTGCATCATAAAATTTAATATTTCATTGTTATCTTCGGCATTTGATGTGGAGAAAATATTAAGCTCAATAAACTTGATTGCTTCAACATATTTCTCACAAGGCGAATACATAAATTTACTTACCAAACTTAAAGCAAAAGCGATATATGACCGTTAATGTGATAATTATATCATTTTTTGACCAACTTTTGATGGCGAGCTGTATTAATTGGATCATCATCTTTCCCATCTCTCAATTTCTAATTGTGGTCAATTGGAATGTCTACAGGCTTACAACCACTCATTGCCTTCAGAAGAGTAATAACATATTTTTGTTGGGAAACAAGAATCCCTTTCTTTGAGCTAACGACCTCCATGCCAAGGAAACATCTCAGAGATCCAAGCCCTTAGTCTCAAAGGTTGATGAGAGGGAAGACTTCAACTGGTTCATCCCATATACGTCATCTTCGTTCGGTTGACAACATGCACCGCACCATCCCAAACAAAACATGGTGCAAATTATGCCCTTCTTTTGAGATTCTATAATATGATTTATTATTAGAGATTATTCGAACTTGATTTGAAGTAGATGGTGTCCAACTTTTCTTAAGGTTTAGATAAGGGAAAATCTTGAGACATGATTTTTTATTGCTACATAATAGTTTCTTTTTATAGCATGTTTTGTAAGTACCAACGGTTTTCTTTGATTAATTCAAACCCTCTAACCTTAATGCCCCTCCATTTGACCCAAGACGAGTCAAATCGAGGAACTTAAGTTAAAGGAAAGAGAAAACAAAAGGCTACAAAGGCATATAAAATAAAAAAAAAAAAACAGGTTCATTTGATTGCAAGTATTTAAAAATTCAATACATTCAAAATATAATATAAAGCAAATGGGTATATTTGTAATAGTTTATGGTGTTTGGTTGCTTGTAAAATAAAACCAAAAATTTTTAGTTAGTGTGTTAGTAACTAGAGACAAGTTGCCGACTCCAATCAACAACGATGAGCAGATGAACTGCAATCGACTGAAAATGAGCAATGTCATGGACCGAAAAAAATCTCATGATTCATATTTACGTGCATACCGCTCAAATCATAAACATCGCATCAAAAATAACATCATTTCCATACATAAGCTCGTGACATCAAAGTGCTATAAATGTAACTGTCAAACTCTAGTGTTAAGTGTGTAAATTCATAAGAATTGTGTGGCGTGAATGTCAAATTCAAATCCCACACCTCAAACCAAAGACCCAAAAGAGAAAAAAGCTTTAACAGAGATCAAAAACATGAGGTGAGACATCTTATTTCTGACTATATACAAATGATAAAACTATTCCAACTACTCAAAACACAAGTTTTATCTGAAACATTCTGATTTCAGAATTTATTCATCATATAAAATGTCAAGAAATCACTAAAATTTCTCAAAACTGACTTAAGTTCCAACAAAATGGCACTTTACAAACTGTTTCTGATAACATGAAGTGCCAAAATATTTCCCCAACTATTTACATTGAGTTAAAAGTTCAAACTAAATCCTCACTCTTTAAATAGGGGCTGAAATATCTAGTCGTTGGGACCATTTTAGATCATATTACAAAAATCAGGGGACTAAATTGACATTTTTATAGATTCTTGGACTAAAATGATCCCCCGCAACACATTTTACCTCTCAGATACCTCGCAGAATCAAATCACGGTGCATCTTTACTCTCAATGTTTATAAAAGTGATTCATCAGTCCTCAAATTTTTTAAATTGGGGCTGAATAGCCTTCCTTGGGGACCAAGAGGATCATGGGATATGTCACAAAATCAAATCACAGCATGGTTGTAGCCTAATCAGAGACAACTAACTCTTCAGTTTACTGTTACGTGAGCCATTTTAGAACAGAGAAACCTTCCTCTCTAAATAAGTTAGAGCCACACCTGCATGAAAGGCAGCTCCTACAGGAAGAACCTCCTCATCAATCATGAAATAGGGAGAATGTGTGGTGTGGATTGATCCAACAGACTCATTTCTAACCCCAACAGTGAAAAGAGCTGCAGGCATTCTCTGCGAAAAGAAGCCGAAGTCCTCGGCACCCATGAGGCGAGGGAAAGGGCGGACATTGGCTTCTCCGACCAAGCTGACGGCCACGCTCCTCGCAAGGTTGTATAGTTTCTCATCATTTATTGTTGCAGGGTAAGCGTTATCCATGAACTTGATTGTTGCGGTGCACCGGTGGACGGCGGATTGAGCCTCTATGACCTGGTATTAATTTTGTTGGGTTTGATTTTGCTTTGGCTCGGTGTTCAGGTGAAAAGTTGTAACTCTTCCTACTTTGAGGCATTTACAAGCATACCATCCAAAGTCTTATGTATTACATGTCTAACACCTAAATTTTACCTTTCAGATTTATGCCATCAAAATCTTACATATCACATAAAAAATAACTGCATTTTAACTTTTGAATGTAAAATATGCATTTTCATGCATAGAAAAGGTGGCATATTCGTAAAAATTGAAGTTTAGGTGTTAGATATGTAGATACATAGGAACTGAGTGGTATGAATGTAAATCTTCCTCTTTTAACAAATTGAATAAAACTGAAACACACAAAACTATATCTTGCATATTATATACTGATCCATATAATCCAAAACAAAAAATAAAACAAAAAAATGTTTTTTTTAACTCACACATACGCCGGCACGTGCTCGGCCTTGAACTCAAAACTTCCTAGTTGGAAACAAAAACACCTAACAACTAGGCTAAGTGGGCTTAAAAAATAATTTTTTAAGGGGCGTTTTCATACACGGCACACAATTCTTATGTTATTTACATATCTCACACCTAAACATTCATATTCTCACATAGCACTTGAATCTTTAATATCACATAAAAAATAGTGCTATTACCAGTTTTTCTAAGTGAAATACATCTTTCATGCATAGGTTTAAAGCACCAAAATGCTATGTATAAAAGTATGAAATATTGGGTTGGGATATAAAAATACATAAGAATTCTGTGCAACTTATGTGAATTTCCATTTCTTTTTTTACTCGTAAGAAATAGACTACTAATCTAACAAATCCAATTTTTTTGCATTTCTAACTCCTCTGGATGCCAAATTGAAAATTACAAAAAAAATGGTTCAATTTGATTTGTTCTGAATTCAACTTTGGTCACTTTGACAATGAATTTTAAATGAATGAAGAACAAATATAGGTTAAGTGTTGAAAAGAAAGTTAAGGCTATTTTGTATTGCAGAAGAGAATTTTAAGAAGTACCTCACGGATCCGTTGTTTAAGAATATAGAGACCTTCAGTATCCATGCTCCTGAAGGTTCCACCAAAGGTGACGGATTCTGGAATGATATTGTGTGCTTCTCCACCTTTCATGAAACCAACTGTAATTATCTGCAGATTGAGAGAAAAAAATGTTATGATCACTCTCAATTAACATTAAAAAGAAAGGAAGATTTACATAGATACCGCTCAATTCATATGTATTTACATATCTTACACCTAAACTTCAATTTTTACATACATACCACCTTAACCATGCAAGCATGCAAGAAAAGGTGTAACCATGCAAGAAAAGGTGTATTTCACTTTTTAAAAGTTAAAATGATGGTAGATTTAGGTGGCATAAATGTCAAAAATAAAGTTTGGATGTTAGATATATAAATGAATAGGAATTAGGTGGTATGCATGTAAATGCCAAGATTGTGTTGGCTCATGGGCTTAAGTTTCTATGTGAATATTACTTCACAAGCATACCAAGGCAATTTAAATTGGATTCTAACTACGAGTTGAAAAGATGATTATTCCTCACAACAATCCAAGCCTAGTTGTTGGTTAAGGTTGGATGGAATCTAAGAAACGTGAACACCGACATGAGATGTAAACATAACTCGAAACCATATTTAAAAAGGAAGCATTTTTCTTTACCAATGTTGTACGTTTGATCAAGAAAATAAAGCATTAGTTTTTAGAGGTGCAAACAAGCTGAGCTTGAGCTAGCCCGGTACTTGTTTGTGTTCAGGACATTCAAAAAAATTTTAGTTTAAAATAGGCTCAGGTTTGAAATGACTCGTGAATAGCATGTGTTCGACTCGATTCAAATTGTTTTGTTCGTTATAGCTTGTATTCAGCTCGAAATTAACTCAAATGAATTAAGAAATAATAAATTTTAGCTTTTTTAAATAAAACATAAAAATGTTACAATAATATTAATTATTTATTCATTTAAGCCAAAACAAGCAATGAACAAAAGTTTATTCATTTATAAATCAAGCTAAAAATTTTTTTTCATGTTCGGCATGCTTGCTTAACGAAAGATATGAGCTGAACACGATCTGCTCACGAACAACAACCTTTTTTGACAACACAAATAACTTTAGAAAAATATAGATTTAAATCATATAATAAGATTCAATTGGCTAATGCAATTGATCAGTAATTAAAAGACATAGTTACCCAGAGGCAATGAATAAGCTTACTCTGCTCTCAAGAGGATCGGTTTCTCGAGATATAAGCTGTTGAAGGCTAAGAATGGCAGAACAAGCAGCCAAAACTGGATCTGCAGTTCTGTGCAGTGCAGCAGCATGGCCGCCTTTCCCTTTAATAACTACCTCAAAGGTATCTGCGGACCCAAGAAGAGTTCCAGCACTAGAAGAAATAGAACCAGTTGGAAGAGTATGGTCAACATGGACACAAAAGATGGCCTCTACATCATCCAAAGCACCTTCTTCCAGCATATGATTGGCACCTGCATAGCCTTCTTCACCGGGTTGGAAAACAAGCTTTATGGTGCCCTTCAAAAAGGAAGAAGAAGAACAACAGAGAAATTAGAATATATAATGGGAATGGAATGAAAATGTGGTTTAGTTCTTCTCATGTTCTGTGTTTTTTTCTTCTTCTTTCTCCCCTTTCACTGTTTTCTCAGGCTGTCATTTATTCTTCTCAATCTGAGTTTCCCTTTTCTAATCCTCCCCCACCTATTTTCTGGAGTTATCAAAATCAACAAAGTGCCTATTATTGAGATCCAAGAAACGGTTCGTATCGAAGAGCCCTCAGCATCCCAAAGCACAGAGAACATGGATATTGAGCTATCTAAATGCACTCATGCGTTGCAAGAGGTGTGATTGATTCTAGTTTTACAATGGCAATTGGTTACTAATTGGTGCTTAATGTGATCAATTTAGGATGGTAATTATGTTTAAAACTTGAAACTTGCTTGATAATAGCCTAAAGTTTAATCGATTTAAAATAGAATTTGATATGCTTGAACTGAAAGATGGCTTAATCCGAATAAATCCGATTCAACCCCAAAATAAGCTTGATTATAAAATATGCACATATTTTTTAGGAAGATTTACATAGAATATATATACAATTCAATTCCTATGTCTTTACATATCTAACACAAACTTTCAGTTTTATTTGTTTTATATTTATGACACTTTACCCGTGCAAGGAAAGAGGTATTTCAGTTATTAAAAGATAGCAATTATGATATTTTTGATGTGATATAAAAATTTTAAGTGTTATAAATATAAAAATCAAAGCTTAAGCGTTGGATATGTAAATACATGGAAATTGTGTGGTATGAATGTAAATGCTCCTATTTTCTAATGTAAAAAGACGTGCACACACATTTATATACATATTCATAATTACCTAACAAATAGAATGATTTTATGTATAGATATTTATGCATTCATATTCAATATATTTCATAATGCATCTTTATAAATATATTTTGAATACTTCTATATGCATAATAATCAGGATCAGTAATTAAAAATATTTTATAAAATCTTGAATCCTATGATTACATGCTACTGAAGACTAAACATTTAAGTATTGGATGATATGAAATAATATTCTTACGTGCATTCCACTTAATTCGTATGCATTTTTATGAAATAATATGATTTACATGCATAACACTTAATTCCTATGTATTTACATATCTAACATTTAAACTTCAATTTTTACATATATGCCACCTACCTGAGCATGAAAATGTGTATTTCACTTTTTAAAAGTTAAAATGGTGGCAGTTTTTATGTGATATGAAAGATTTGGTTGGTATAAATGCTAAAAAGTAAAGTTTAGGGGTTACATATGTGCATAGAAAATTGGGTGATATGTATGCAAATGCCCCAAAATAATTTTGAATATACCTTTAGATTGCTCTTCAGACGTTGAAGCAAATTAGCTGCACCAAGAAGCATCGCAACATGAGCATCATGTCCACAGGCATGCATTTTCCCATCAAGTTGGCTCTTATATTCCAAATCAGCAAGCTCCTTGAAATGACATAAAATTAGAGTAATTACATGTTCCATGATTCAAAATTCAAACCATTTATATAATCCCAGAGAAACAGTAAAGCTGGAAAAACCAAATAATGAAGTGCACTAAAGCTCGTTTCAAATACAAAAAATGGACATTTACATAGATACCACCCAATTCTTACGTATTTACATATCTAGCAGCTAAACTTTACTTTTTAAATTTATAACCCCAAAATTTTTCATCACATAAAAAATATCACTATTTTAACTGTTAAAAAATGAAATAAATCTTTTTCATGCATAAGGCAGCTAAAAATTGATGTTCAGGTGTTACATATGTAAATACATAAGAATTGAGATGTAGATCTTCCTACAAAAAAAAGGATGAATGTTATGCTCATCAAAGAAGAGGTGAGACGAATAGCTAACAACATTTGTCGCAATTGATACATAGAAGCTTGTGCTAACCCTGCCTAAAGATAATATGATTCAAGATATAATAGCTCCAAGATGTTAGCCCAAGCTGGGACTGTAACTGAGCCAAGCTAACACAAGCTGATGAATTGAGCTTGATAAGCTAACAAGCCAAGCTTAAGCCAGAGCCAGCTTGTTTAAAAAATAATTAATATAAAATATACTCAAAATATATTAATATTCAAAATTTCATCTTTAAATTATTGAAAATATATAAAAACAAATATTTATATTTTATATCAAGTGATTTCTTATTAACTATCTCATTAATGCTCCTTCTATTTATCATTTTATTATAATATTAGCTTGAATTATTATTATTTTCTCTCTTTTATAATAAATAAGTCGGCTCAAACTCATAGGATTAAGCTCGAGCTTAAGATTGAAGGTGACCCAAACTCAAATCAACTCGTTTACACCCCTAGCCCTAACATTGCTCAATTTGTTGCACTTCTATCTAAAATGTGTGGTATTGAACGTGGAGCCCTCAAACATGGCCTCATCATTCTAAATGGAGGTGGATAAATATTAATTTTATTCAACTAGAGGGATTTGCACCTAGATGAGATCCAATGGTTTTCCTTAAATCATCACATTGTTTAGGCTTGAAGAGCTATAATGAGAGTGAAAAACTAGCAATCTCATATTAGCATAAATGACTTCTAGCATGTGATAATCTTAATTAGTTGAAAAGAATTCATCTAGACAAATTCATATAATATAGCAAAACTAATTACATTTTTTTATGAAAATTTCCTTTGTTGACCATATTGCCTGCTCTATAAGCCGACTCAAGCAAATATGGCTAAATAATGGGTGACGAACTCAATATTGTACAAGTTGATCTGGGATGCGTCGATTACAAGAAGTGTTTAAATATTGCCGATTCAGGAAATGGCTTTTGTTGATGCATCTAGAGTATCGAGATAATCAAAGAAAAAGCGCTTCAGTCGATGCGACAAATCATAAAAAAGGTGAACATTTTTTGTCGAAAAAGGCCCAAACAACATTTATTTGAAAAACAAACTACGCCAAAGCGTCCGAGGTATTTAAATTTCAAATTATAGTCATTTTCATTAGCAATTTGATCGAGCATAACAAAAACAATAGACTGTGGATGCGGTGTCAGATGTGTTGGGTTCAAACACCTCTATTGTCACTGAAACGAATTAAAAGTTGTCCATTAGTACTACGGAATTTGTCGACACATCTGAAATTTCAAATTTTCAATAAAGAATATACATTTTGTCCAAATGCAGATACTTACATGAAGTCAAAACCTTTTTCCCATAACTCATGTTGTGGGTGAGTGTCATACCAGCCCTCGGTTTTAAATGTAAATATAAATATGTATGTGCCTCTCTCTCTCTCTCTCTCTCTTTCGGGTATCCCCGCTCCTCCTCGCTTCCAAGGCTACACACGAAAAGGCCATCCCCCCGTTCCTCCCACTCCATGTGATGCAGATTATATCCTTGATGCAATAGTTTAGTTTGTAATTTACTCTGCAATAGTAGTATTAGTGAGTTACTTTGGTTTATGTTAGAGTTTAGAGTGGTCCAAGTCACATAATTAGTTGTAGTGGCTGCCTTATACGGTGGCCAGAGTACTGTGCAAGACTATGAAAATGAATTTCTTAATACTACCATTTTGATACCGGCAGGTTCTGCTGGGTTTCTCCATCCTTTTTTGTCGTTCTTTGTTTTCAAAGGGTTTTGTTGGTGCCAGGCTGCATCAGATTGGCAAAGACAATCATGGCAGGCAGCGGCAAGTCTCAGGCGCTCGACAGCAATCATAGCTTGGAGTCCTTACGCGATGCTCAAATCAACCTGGAACAAAAGGTTGAGGGTTTGTCCATTGACTTACAGCACTTCGCACAAAGGTGAGACTGACCCCACTGGAGGTCTTGGCACACACCAATGACAGACAATACCAAAATAGGGAATCGAGATCAACAGTTCACTCCATGATTTGATACAGCAACCAGTTTAAAACAACAAGACCAAGATGATTAGCCGCTCACAGAAGGCGGACTAACTTTACGAATTCTGATTCTGATGAAGACAATATGCCTGAAGAAATTCCCAACCTCATTCGCCCAACCTATGATCGTATTTATAGTGAATTCAAGGTGAAAATTGATATCCCTTACTTTGATGGCCATTTACAAATTAAATACTATTTGAATTGGGAGCGAGCTGTTGAGGCCTTTTTTGAGTGCATGGATGTAGCTACTGAAAAACGAGTACGATTTGTCTCTTGTAGACTCAAGGATGAGCTGGAGTATGGTGGCAACAATTGGTTCAATCCCGTAGGAAAGAAGGGCGATGACCCATAGAAAGCTAGGCTAGAATGAAGCCGCTGCTACAGAATCATTTTTTGCCATTAGACTACAAAAAAATCTTGTATGTTCAATTTAACAGAGATGCACAAGTTAACCACACAATTAGTGCCTATACTGAAGAACTCTATCGTCATAGTGCAAGAAATGAGCTCCATGAATCCAATCAACAAATTGTGGCTCGATACATTAGAGGATTGAAAGAGGCTATACAAGATAAGTTGGAGACGATTGCAATTTGGTCATCATCCCAAGCAGTAAATTATGCTTACCATGGCCTAAATTCAAACAAACAGAACTTCAAGATTAGCTAGCAGCAGAAAACCAGCTATTGAATCAGTCCTGGATGGTATCGAAGGACCAGCCCAACAAACCCACACTTCCCTTGCACTGTGGTGCCGCCGTACAGCTTCAAATTCAGGTGGGAAAAAAAGAAAAGCAGTTGACAAAACTGTGAATCAAAGAGATAGCCGCTAACACCGACCTGGACCCCATAAGTACTTTCGCTGTTTTAAATAAAATTCAATCTTCAACTAACATCAAAATGGTACACCCACAGCATTCAAATGGCTTTCCTTACTTTAACCATGTTTTAGAGTCGGTTATATACACATCAATAAATCCATCTTATGCAAAGTAAATAAAGGATTCCAAACTTTGCATAGTAAAGCATTATTTTATCTTCTATCATCATTGCTTAATCTATTTTCATGCCAATCAAATTGGCATACCATATGACAAGTTTTAGACGTTCTAAGCCCCATAAAATTTGAATCTTTTGAACGTCAGTTTGTAGCATGTGAACCCAACAATATAATTAAAAAACTAGAAGATTTACAGGCATACCACTCAATTCTTATATATTTATATATCTAACACCTGAACTTCAATTTTTGCATACATACCACTTTACCTATGCATGAAAAGCTGGATTTCACTTTTTAAAATGGTAGTATTTTTATGTGATATGAAAGATTTGGGTTGCATAAATGTAAAAAGCAAAGTTTAGGTGTTAGATATTGTGTAAATGCATAGGGTAAATGGTGATCTTTTTTACTGCTTTAACAGCTTTCAGCCAGATCCCCGGTCGAATGAGTGTCCCAATCGCCAATAGGTAGAGCTGGCAGAAGGAGAACCTGACAGCTAAAGTGAAAATGCTGAGAAGGGTCCGTTTGTGAGAGAAGAGGGGGAAGATTTAGTTGTAAATGAAGGGGAAATTTTGACGTTTGTTATGGAAAAATTGCTGCTTTTTCTAAGGCAGCAAGTCAGATCGAAACATGACTCTATATTCAGGTCCGGGTGCACCATCGAGGTAAGTTTTGTGAAGCATACTTGATAGTGGGTGCACGGAAATGTGATTTCGAATGCAGTGGTAAAGGCACTTCAACTGAAAACAGCCAAAAATCCCAATCCCTACAAAATCAATTGGATAAAGAAAAGTGATAACGGAGGAGAAAGTACAACCCACAAAAGAAACACAAATATTATTATTGAATTTGAAATCAGTTACAACGATTCTTCATTCTTCAAAACGATTCTTCAAAACATGAAATAAACGACAAACAAACACAAAGCACGAGTTAACACTTAACACCTCGAAAGTGTACCCAAGGGCGGTGGAAGTTGGCCCAGTGGATCCGGAAGCTTGGGACAGCAAGTATGGATGCGAGAAGGGGGGCCAACTGAGGTTGGAAGGTAAACTGGAGGAGGGAGGCAGCAGGTTATGGTGGCAGAAAGGTTTGTTGGGCGGTTGGGAGGTAAGTTGGAAGGTGGGGTAGCAAGCTGGGAAGGTGGGGCAGTAGGGAAACGTTAGTCGACACTTTCGGAGGGTAGACAGCGAGCGAGGAAGAGCTGTCAATGATGGGAAAGGCCTGGACAGTAAGATAGCCTATTGGAAGTGGGTCGGATGAGTGCTGGGAGAAATTTTGGGCAGGTGGACAGTAAGATTGGGTTGTTCAGGAAAGGCGGCTGAGAGTTGGGATGGAGTATGGGGAGCTATGACCTTGCCGGGAGAAGGTTAGCAGCAGGCTGGAGGAAGGACAGCAGCCGACAGTTGTTGGCGAAGAGGTACAGTGGCCTGTTGTAGGATTGGGAAGTGGGTGGACAGTAGCAGGAAAGGTGTAAGGATAGATAAATATCTCGTCGGGGTCTAGCTACAGCCGGAGCACCACCAGGACCCTTGGAGAAGATCACTACCTCAAACGAGTGACAGCCGGAGCACTATCTCGAAGTCGAATACAACCCTCGAAGGGAAAATACCAAGGATAACATCTAATTTCAAATAATAAAAACAAGACCCCTGCCTCTAAATGCATCACCTCCTATTTATAAAAAGACTTAACCTATTTTAGGAAGTATTTTAGATTTTTTGAAGAATTTCAAAATAAGAAACAACAACAACAACAAAGCCTAAATCCCACTACGTGGGGTCGGCTACATGAATCATTTTTCTCCATTGCGTCCTATTTAGTTTCATATTTTCATTTAGTTCTAGTAAATTTAGATCAGTTTTTATACAATAAGCCCGAGTCTTCCTAGGTCTACCTCTACCTTTTATAACACAAGTTGAATATAAAACATCTACTCTCATAATCGGTTCATCAGATGGTCGAAGTTTAATGTGACCAAACCATCTAAGACGACTTTCTCTAATTTTGTCCGTCACTGGAGCTACAGCAACCCTATCACGGATATATTCATTTCACATTTTGTCTCTAAGTGTAAAGCCACTCATCCACCTAATCATTCTCATCTCGGCAACACTTAACTTATTATTATGCTTCTCTTCTAAAGGCCAACATTCAGCGTCATAGAGCATTGCAGGTCTCACCGTCGTCTTATAAAGTTTTCCTTTCAGTCTAAGCGGTCCTTTTCTATCACACAAAAGGCCTGAAGCATTCCTCCACATCAACCAACCAACTTGAATTCTATTATTAACATCCCCATCTATATCACCATCACTTTGAACAACAGACCCAAGATATCTAAATCGTTCGCACCTTTTAATAATTTGATCACCCAAAGTCACACTTTTGTCACTAGAGCTACTACTACTAAAATTACATTCCATATATGCAGTTTTAGTTCTACTTAAATGAAAGTCTTTACACTCCAGTGTAGACCTCCATAATTCAAGTTTTTCTTGGGTTTTTTCTCTCGTTTTATCCACGAGAAGGATATCATCAGCAAAAAGCATACACCAAGGTACATCCTCCTGTAGATGTCCAGTAAGATCATCCATAAAAACAAAAAAGATATCAGCTCAAAGTTGATCCCTGATGTAATCCAACAGAAATAAGAAAATATTTGGTCAATCCTCCTTCAGATTGAAAAAAGAATAAAAATGATTTTTTTTAAAACAAGAGAATAAACATGTGAATGATTAGAAAGGGGAGAATAAAAATGATTTCATATTTTTTTTAAATAAGTGGGGAGAATAAGAAAGATATTTCAGATTTTAGGAAAGATTTTAAAATAAGGAAGGACAATGAAATTAGAATTTTAGGCTTTAGGGAAGGATTTAAAATAGGAATGTGCTTAGAAAGGAAATGTGAGGGGGGGGGGGGGGGGGAGGGGGGGAAATGTGAGGAAGAAATGGGAAGGAAGAAATGGATGAAAGGAAGGAAAAGGGAAGACGAGGTGGCAGCCCCCTCCCTTGAGGACTTGCCGGTCCTCCACTGAGCCCCGCACCAAAAAGTTTGCAATTTTCCCTGTTTTGGTAGTAGTGGTGAGTTAGGTTTATCTTAAATCCTCTTGAAACTATTTAATATATCTGAAACAGGTTTAGTAATCCAACAGCAACTAACGACTCAAAGGAAACATTTGAATTAATTCATTATGATAATCCCGTGATGTTTTGAGACTCAATTTCAATAATACAGCCTTTTTTCCCACCCAACACAGAAGTGATTCTCTAGTTCTTAATCTATTTTATTCATGGCTACAAATCATTTTCAATTCAAAACTATTATAAACCAATGTCATGGGAGAAAATGCTGACCATCTCATACTCTGTTAAAAATTTCTAATCAAATGCTGACCATCTCATACTCTGTTAAAAATTTCTAATCAAATCCTAAATCCACTGGGCATGAAATTTATCAATAAATCCCCAATCCAATGACATATTTGAGCACGTTTCCTGCAAAATATTGAGAAAACAAGAGATTCATTAGCTGATCTCCCCAATTCCCAGAAACTTACTCAAACGAAGATAAAATCTTCAAATTAGAGCCTAATAACAAACAAATTACGCCATTAAAATCCCAATATTTGTAAATAACCGGAACACCACAACCAAATCTACAAATGACTGCTAATCATAAGCCCTCCGGCTTCAAAGGATGAGTGAAATTGAACAACACCTGTACAGCGTCCATGTCTGCTCGTAGAGCAAACTGAGGGTTTTCACGGGATCCAATAATGGAAGCCACGATTCCAGTTTTGGCGACCGGCCACACGTAGTCGATGCCGAGAGCCTCGAGCTCGTATCGAATAAGCTCGCTGGTCTTGTACTCTTCGAAGCCAATCTCCGGGTGTTGGTGGATCTTCCTCCTAATGCTCCTCATCCAGGTGAAGAACTCCGGTTCCCGCGCAGATTTGAGAAGATCTTCGTAGGTTGATGAGGCTGAAGAGAGAGTGGTGAAGGAGAAAAGAGAGAAGAAGAAGATGAGCCAGGGAGCAACCATGGCGACGGAGGAGTTGCCGGCTTCCACACTTGGCTTCTCGCTGCGAATGCATTTTTAAAAGGGAAAATTACATACTAGCAGCCAAAGATTTTGCCATCTCGCTCTTGAGTTTTTATTTTCACGCATAGCACTTCAGGCCTCGTTTGGGCCAGCATTTTCACCACGGTGCCTTATGAAAACCTCTGTTGAAGTGCTTAGAGCTTAGAAGCTGCCGCGCAGCCGTTTATTTAAATAATTTATGTTAAATGCAGGTCTTAGGTTGGACTCTGAAGTCTGCATTTTCTAACATCCCTACTACTGTAATAACCTCTGCATTTCTTCTGCCCCCGCCTTTCTCGATCGTCCCGCGTTTCTTCTACCCTCGACTCTCTAGACCGTCTCTCTCGGTCGTTCCTCTCTCTCTCTCTCTCTCGCGCATCTCTCTGTTGACAACGAGTTGTTTTTATCCTTTCACTCTTCCCTCTGATCTCTTGTGGCAACTGGTTGGCTCTCTACTTTCTCTCTTCTCTCAGATATTCAGCTCTCTTCTATTTACCGTGCTCTTCGTCCTCCCATAGACCACAGTATCAGCTATATTTTCCGATTGAATGACTTTCTTTGTGTTTTGTGTCTTTCTTATTTGTGGTTTGAAGTGGAAATTTGGATTTTGTGATTTGTTTCTTTCTCTTTATGATTTAGAATTTGGTTTTTGTGAATGTGTGATTGATGGAATGGGGTTTTATCTTTACATTTGGCGTTTCAATGAGAATTTGAGAAATGGTTGAAGGATGGTGCTTGATTTGTTTATAGCAATGTTTCATGTGTCTTATATGTTTTGAGTGCCCATTATGCAAAATAGGGGGTGGGGTTTATCTTTAGCTTGGATGTTTGAGTAAGATATTGAGAAATGGTTGAAAGATGGTGTTTGATTTGCTGGCAGCAATGTTTCAGGTGCCCTGTATGAAGTAGTCAGTATGAAAAATATTGGGTGTGGTTCTACCTTTACCTTTCGTGTTTGAGAGGGAATTTGAGAAATGGCTTAAAGAGGGTGATTGATTTGTTAATAACAATGTGTGGAGGTGGTAGTCAGATGCGTTTTGTGGGTTTCTCATTTGCATTTTGAAGTGAAATTTTGTATCGTGCGATATGTGACTTTCTCTTTATGATTTAGAATTCAATTTTTGCGAATGTGTGGCTGATGGAGTTGGGTTTTATCTTTATCCTTGGTGTTTTAGTAAGAAATTCACAGATGATTGAAGGAGGGTACTTAATTTGTTAATAGCAATGTTTCAAGTGTCATGCATGTACTTTGCAGTAGATGCAAAATATGGGTTGGGGTTTTATCTCTAGTTTGGACGTTTGAATGAAATGTTGAGAAATTGTTGGAAGATCGTGTTTGATTTGATGGTAACAATGTTTCAGATGTTCTGTATGCAGTAGCCAATACGAAAAATATGGGGTGGGGTTTTATCTTACCTATGGTGTATAAGTGAGAATTTGAGAAATGGCTGAAAGAGGGTTAGTGGTGTTGGAGGTGTTGAAGGGTTTTATCTTTATCTTTGGTGGTATGTGGAGGCATTGATGGTATTGGAGGTGTCTGTGTGGTGGTGTTTTGAGGTGTCTGTGGTGGTGGTAGGGTTGAAGGTGTTTGTGTGGTGTATGGTGGTGTGCGGAGGTTTTGGTGGTATTGGAGGTGTTTATGTGGTGTTTGAGTGGTCGTGTGTGGAGGTGTTGTTTGTGTGGAGGAGTTGGTGCATGGTTGTGGATGTGATGATTAATGTGTGGTTTTGTCTGTGTTGAGGTGTTGGTGTGTGGTTGTGGATGTGATGGTTAGTGTGTGGTCCTATGGAGGTGTTCACGTGTAGAGACGGTGCTGATGGTGGGTGGATGTGTTGTTGTCTTGAAGTGTCGGCGTGTAGAGGTGTTGGTGTGGAGGTGGTGGTGTCTAGTGAAAGTTTTCGTGTTTGTGTGATGCCTGGTGGTGTCTGTGTGGAGGTGATGGTTAGTGTGTGGTTATATTTGCATGGAGATATTATTGTGTGAAGATGGTGCTGATGGTGTGGTAAATGTGTCGGTGTGTGGATGTGTTGTTGTGGAGGTCGTGGTGACAATATTGCAGAATTCCGAATTTTCTTTGATTTGCGATATTGTGGCATTCCTATTTATGTTAATAATTTTTTTTTTTCATACTAGTAATATAATTGTTAAGACAAATAATATTGATTCTTTTGCAATGTGAGATGAAGAGACAAAATTAATATTTTACGACATCTGCCTCAAGGAGGTTGATATGGGAAATAGGCCGACAACCTATTTGAACAAGGATGATTAGCAAAATATTATTAAAAAAAACAAGGAATGTATAAGCAGAGAGTACGATAGGGTGTAGTTAAAAAACAAATGGGATCATCTAAATAATGATTGAAAAATCTAGAAGAAATTGAAGCAATCAACCGGCTTGGTGTGGGATCCGGTGAAGTAAGCAATTGGTGCTTAAGATGAGTGGTGAGAAAATAAACTTCAGGTGAACACTTTTTTATTGTCTCATATTTTGGTCAATTTTTAATTTGTTTTTAAATTCAATTACATGTTATATGAATTTGTAGGTGGTGTTTGTTGCAAAAAAAAAATGAACACAGTGGAATCGATCCTTAGTTTGAGGAGAAATTAGATCGTATGTTTGGGGGGTGTATTGACAACGTTCAAACGGGTGATTCCGCTGAATGTTCGGGGTCGGACCTCCATGAGCTTGAGTCCACGAGTCACTCTAAGCATCTCGGGTTGAAAATAAAAAGAACATGAAAGCTGCTTTACTTATAAGTCATATATTACAATTGACGGCTTCATGTGCCAGTGTCTTCAGTGCATCTCAAACAACTTTAATCCAGCGGGTTGTACAAATTCTACATGCATCTCCAAAAATTTTTTAGGTCATACTACTATATTTGTTTTCTATGAAGTTACTAAAAGATCCGAACTGGAGAGAGTTATTCATCATGATGCCCATTGATCGTAGGATGACTTATCTACGATACTTTTATAGGAACATGGACATTTGAGAAGCATTTTTTTAATTAGATTCCCATGAGACATTCTTTTGTGTTTTGAGCTTTTTTATGTGTTTCAGATATTTAGACTGCTTTGGACATATCACTTGAGAGTTTTTTATTATTCACTGTGTTTTTTATTTACTTCTGCAAAATTATTTGCTTGTGTTGGTTTTGTCCGTAACCTTATATGATTGTAGATATTTCATTGATGCTTATGTGTTAGCCACTTTGATATCGAATTACATGATACAACTAGAGCAAAAAGCAGAAGGAGAGTTGTTTTTGTCGTATGCTTTACATGTACATAGAGTGTTGCCCTTACATGCATCCTCATATGCTGACAACATAAATCTCATTGTGCCACCCAATGAAATTTAGTAATATGTTTCACATGACACGGGCGGTATTCACCGATCTGCTGAAGGAACTACACAGAAATCATGAATTTCATGACTCATTCAAAATGACATTGCGAGATGTGCTGACAATAAACGTCTACATAAAAAATACAATTTAATCGCAAAATGAATCAATAAGAGGATCTATGGAGCGATTTCAACACTCATCCGAAATGATTTTTAGATAATTTTCAGTAGGGTTGAATGCACTTATTAGTTTTTATTCATAAGTCATAAAACAAATATATCCTACCTTCGAACGGATCCTCAAAGAGATTTCATATAATGCGTGGCATATGCCATACTTTAAGGTAATTTATCGTATTTATTACATTCAGTTTTCAAATAAATATCATAATTACGTAACAGTTTGTTATATTTCTAGAATTTTATTAGAGCAATTGATGGAACATGTGTTGATGCACGTTTTATAAAAAAATGAAAATATTCCATTCATTGACCATTGTGGGTCCCTGCAACAGTATGTCGCGCGTGGTATGTGGCTGCTTTAGTTTTGTCTTGACCAGCTGAGAGGACAGTGCACATTACAATCGAATTTTCAAAGCTGTAGCACAAAATAAAAAAATGCAACCTCTCACATCCACCCACAGGTTTGCTTAAGACCGAGCTACTCTCATAAATTTTTTCCCTTAGTATTAATCATTCAATCCATATTGAGTAATGATATTTTGTTGATATTGGATAACCGTTGCAGCGAGAGTATCTCAAGTTTTATCTTGATAGGAGATATCACATACTTGACTTTGAGCGAGCCAAAAATTTCACTCTAAGTAGGAAATAAATGTTCAATAAAAGACATTCATCTTTATGCGGTATCATTGAGAGAATTTTTTTTTGGTTTGAAATAAGAAATGAGTTATACTTCGCACTGTGTCAATTAATCTGTTTCCAAAACATGTGTAAATTGTGATTGCCACAATGACTTTTCACAATTATATTCAACGACATCCTTCTCCAACGACAATGACTTCCGTATGACAGACACACATCATGAACAAGTCCCTATCGATGCATATGAGTACCGTCTCAGACAGTCTTTCTCACAGGTCGAAAATGATGTTCTGGATACCTGTACTAAAAATGAGGAAGATGTTAGCGAGGCGACATAGTTGAGGGAATAAATTACAAATACAATAGTTGGAAGCTGATTGGAGTTATTATCATATTATTGACTGCAATGATTGTTGTAGAGATTCACTGTTTATTGTATTTGTATTTTATATAGTTAATGTTTATTTTAGTTCATTGTGTATTTAATATTGATTGTTTTTTTTACGCTTTTTGTAAGTGTTTTTTTCCCTCATGCAGTTCTTTTTTTTTTTTGGTTTGAAAATCTATGATGAGAGGTTTGACCTTTTGTATTTCTGTGAATGACCGCTTATTAAAAATATCATAAGTTGTTGAAATCAGAGCTCTAAAATAATTTAAGGCTTGAATATTTCTTGTTAAAAATATCATCTCGAAATCTTGACATTCCTCAAGATTCATGCTAAATGTTGATTTGTTGGTGATGTATCGGTTGCTGTTTCATCGAATGATCACATGTATTAGTTAAATGATTGTCCACAATTTTTATTTATGGATTAATGACTTTCTCATAGTTGAATTTTAATGCAGAATAATACTAATGTTTAAAAATATTTTTCATTATCCTGGTATTTGTTCCCATCTTCGTAAATTCAAAGTTTTCGGACCGTATCTTGACAACTAAGAATTAATTTCACATATATGAATTAAACTTGGAGCCATTAATCATGCAATCATCACCAACCACCACTACCAGCTATTGTGGTCAACTACTGCGAACATATTACAACTTAATTATTATTTTCAGGCTATTGTTGCCTAATATATGCAACCCAGTCAAAATTCAGTAAACTTATTCTCCAATTAGAGATAACTGCGAATCTTTATAATTTCAAATAAATAGAGAGTAATTCTAATAAGGCTACAACCAATGATATTTTCACCTTTTAGATTTTCTCAAAAAAAAAAAAAAAACTTATCTTCTTCAATTATTCTTTTGTTGCCATGCTTGTTTACTAAGACATTAATCTCTCATGCGATCATCATTAAATTTCTAGCACATAAGTTATAAAAAAAAGATTAATTATTAAATCATTTATGTTATTTTAACTACATCTAATGAAAATATTTATTTATTAAAATAGTAAAAAAATATGCTCATCATCTTATTATGATTTTTTTAAAAAATTATAGCTCAATAATATATAATATCTCCATTTTAAAATTTATTAATATTATCCTTATTTTAACATTTAATATATTATAATAACGTATACTATAATTCATCTCCTTGCAGGCGCTGCCAAAGCATGCGGAGGACTCGAAGCGTCCCTCATCCAGCAGCGAGTTCTTCCAATGGGCTCGAAATAGGTGGATCAATCTCCCGCATTAAACCAGCAGCGAGTTCTTCCAACTCCTGCTACTTCAAACCCTACAGCAGAAGCATTCCACTACGCAATTTGTAACTCTACTGCAGCAGTTGGGCAATCCCAATTCCGGCAATCAGCATCATGTTTCGTTTTAGGTGTAGCAGTGTAATCCGAGCTGAGGCCAAAAGAGCGGCGAACGGTTTCTTTTTTGCTTCACTCACTTCCAGGTATACTTCCCATCGCCATCGGATGCATAATTAAGAAAGGAAATCAATCGAGTTGCAATTCGGATGGTTTGTTGCGCGTTTTTTGTGACGGCGCATTGAATGTGTTGGTGCAATTGATCCGATAATGACACTTTTTACTTTCTGGGAAGGTTTCGATCTTGGATCACGGCGGTCATGGGGTCACAATTAGCACTCGACAGTTGCTTAACAAGCTTAGGTAGATCGTCAACTTTGCTGTAGAGGGAACATAAGATCATAAGTAGCATCAGGGATGTGCTCTAGTAATGCCATAACTCTCTTATGATAAACTAAGAGGTTCAGCTTGAGAACTTTGAAAGTTCCCAAAACATGGTAAATAATGCACTCGAAATCCCCATAAACCTTGATCATTTTGATATTCATTTGGTTTACTAATTCTAATCCAAGTATCAAGGCTTCATATTCCGTTTCGTTGTTTGTATGTGGCTCTGTCAAGTTATAAGAATAGTCAAGAATATCATCCTCAGGGGAAACTAAAATCAGGCCAATGTCGGCCTTCATCCTTGGGAGAGATTCGGGCCTTCCTTTAAAGAAGACGCCCCGTTAAAATACAACCCCCACTGAAGAAATTTTATTTTCTTGGTGTAAATCTTATTGATCTTTATGCTACCGCATGTTCCACCTGAGAGATGAGCTATGGTTTTTTACACGTTTTACTGTATATGCTGCCAATTAAGCAGTATTTTGATTGCTGTTTAGTTTAGGCATTTGATTTTGCTAGTTTACATGAATTGTTCTCATATTTATGACTTCGAAGTTTCGTTTATACGAAGCCAGTCATTGTTGTTGAAATTATGAATCTTACTGTATTTAAAGCTGAAGTTCGGTTTGGCAGGGATTTACATACATACCACCCAACTTATATGTATTTACATACCTAACATTTAAAGTTTCGTTTTTTACATTTATAATACCCAAATCTCTCATATCACATAAAAAAATACGCCGTTTTAACTTTAAAAGTGAATTACAGATTCGCATTATGTGAAAATAGAAGTTTAGGTGCTAGATACGTAAATACGTAGGGATTAAGTGGTATATATGTAAATCTTCCTACGATTAGTAATGACCCTCTGAATTTCCTTTCACTGCATACTGTTCTATTTTCCCAAGCTTCAGTGATTATAATGATCTTTGATGCATCTTTTTTAGAGGAGAATGGGCTAACATATGCACCTTTTATAGTTTGTTTTATGGCGGCTTAAGCTTATAATGTAGTTATTGATTTTGATTCATATTTATATTCTAATTTTGCAGAAGGTGTACACATTCATTATTATTTGCTACCATAGCCTCAGACGAAATTTCAGGTTCTCACCCTGCGGAGGTACATAACTTGGGTAAGAGCCTGCCTCCTTCCATTAGATTTTAGTGGCATTTACATACATACCACACAATTCCCAAGGATTTACATATCTAACACCTCAACCTTGTTTTTTTACATTTACACCACCCAAATCTTTCATATCACATAAAAATACTGCCATTTTAACTTTTAAGAAGTGAATGATTCCGGAGTTAACCAAATAATAATAGGAAAACCAAATTTTATTGTGGAAATCAAATTGGAAATTACAACCAGCATATGAGAATCTGACAATTGCAACAACTGACAACATAAATTCAAACTAATAGGTTAAAATTTAGGGGTGGCGGTCGGAAAAAGTTTGGAAGGAGGTGCGGGGGCTAAAATGTCGGTTGACAAGCAGAAAACAACAAGGCGGCTGTTTCTGCGATGTCGGAGGACAAGGAAACAACAAGGAATGTTGTGGGAGGGCTGCCCAACATGATGGAAGCAAGGATGGAGTGCTGAAATGGCGGTGACAGAAAAGAGGAAGAGCTGAACAACAGTGTCCGTGAAGGTGGAGGGCTGGAACTACAATGACAACAAAAAGGAAGGGCCGAACAAAGAATATTTGTTGAAAAACAACAAAAGGGCTGCTGTCAGGGAAGTCCTGCATCGAAGAGGGAGGCTTGAAAGTGAAGCGAGCTGGATGTAAAAGGGTATAGGGAAGATACATACCACATGGAGACAAAAATACAACCGAAACACTGCATGTAATTATGGGATATAGAAGGGAAGCATGGATGACGACTGTTGTCCCAATGCAGAACACCCAAAAAGTAAACCTGAAACATTAGAAAAAAAAAAATATAATAATAGGATAATTAGGACTGACCTAAGAGAACAAACCAACTCCAGAGCTTCGAAAAAACCTTGATCGGTTTGGTCTAGGCACGAATAATGGTTGTCAGTGATGTTCACAGGAAAAAAAATTGCGTGCAGGATACAATCTTGCCCTTGCTTTGGACTCTCTATGTAAGTGCAGGAGGGATCCCTGCGTAAGCGAAATACATCTTCCATGCATTGGTAGGGCAGTATGCATGTAGTAATTGAAGTCTAGGTGTTAGATATGTAAATACTTAAGAGTTGAGTGGTGTGTATGTAAAACTTCCTTGGTTTTATCTTAGCCTGGCCATGAGAAAGCATGAAATAGTGCCATGATTAATCTAAAATGCACTATTGTGTTTTCCATGCTTGCTTTCATCCAAACATACTTTTTCTAGCTTAACTAGTTTATGTACACTCCGTATATTTAGGGCATGCCATACTATTTTTAAATTGGGGCATTTACATACATACCATACAATTTTTATATATTTACAAATCTAACACCAAAACTTCAATATTTACATACATAGCTCTGAAATCCTTAATATCACGTCCAAAAAACCACCATCACCTAGTTTTTAAAAGTGAAATAGATATTTTCTTGCACATGGTTATCACACCAGAGTGGTTTAAATGTAAACATGAAAGTTTAGGTGCTAGATAAATACATAAGGATTGTATGGTATGTATGTAAATTTCCCTTTTTAAATTGGATTCTTCAATAAAAATTTATCTTGAGTGGCAGAGAGCCAAAATCTAATGAGAGAGTCTACACTAAGTTGAAATTGAGGGTCCTATTCATACATCTTCTAATTGTCCTAAGGAATTGATGAAATTATTTTTAATGAGCATTGGCAATGTTTATTCAGTGCAGGGTAGTTGGAACACATCTACTGAATGGAATACTATCTTAGATCCATTGAACGGAGAACCGTTCATCAAAGTGGCAGAAGTGCCAGAAGAACGGTTAAAGGTAATCTATGATTTACTTGCATACCACACAATTTCTATATATTTACATATCTAATACTAAAGTTTTATTTTTACATATATGCCACCTTGCTTATGCATGAAAAGGTATTTTTCACTTTTCAAAAGGTAAGATAGTGGTATTTTTTATGCAATGTAAAAAATTTGGGTGGTCTAAATGTAAGAAGTAAAGTTTAGGTGTTAGATATGTAAGAAAGTAGGAATTCGGTGGTATGCATGTAAATTTCCCTTTATTTTATTCTTACCATTATTTTTTTTTTATCTGACTATTCGTCTTCTTCTTTTGCACCTTGAATAATAAGCTTGAATTTTTGAGACAATGTTTTTCCCTTTCTTTTTCCGTCTTCTTGTATTTGATGCTATAGTGTGCTTTTTTGCAGCCATTTGTGGAGAGCTTATCCAAGTGTCCAAAATATGGGCTGCACAACCCACTCAGGGCTCAAGAGAGGTTTACATCATGGAATTTCATAAACCTTTTCTATTTTATTTTATTTTTGTCACTTCATTCTCTTCTAATATTTTAATTGATTATATTTCTGAATTCTGCTTTCTACTATTTACAGTCTGGGTTTTAATAAACTGTCAATATATTATTTTTTTAGTAGCTAATTTTATTGTCATATTTTAAAATTTTAAGATGCCACAACTTATGTTTTTCTCATGATTCTATTTCTTAATTTGTTCAAGGCTTCTCAAAATTCTAGAAACTTTCTTTTGCTTCATTTGACATTTTAAAAATATGTCATGTCTTATAGAACAGCATATTCTAAAGGTTTTCTTTTTCCTTGACAATACTGTTGTTACCAAGGATATGTTTGTTCTTATTGTTTGTTATAATACTCTGTATATTCTATGCTCAAACAACAAGTTTTCAAAGTAATGGATTTATGCTCATGAATATGGGTGATTGTTTCATTTCGTTATTCCATAAATTTTGCAATCAGACTACCATCCTTCTAGAATTTTAAATATACTACAATCAAGTTTAGCTATTTTAAATATCACCCATCAAATATTTGGAAGAGGGTTGGGAGATATGCGACGGTAAATGCTCTAGTGTCTATAGTTGATTGCATGTAAGGCAACTCAACTGTTGCATATGTTCTCTGGCCTATTCACATCAACAAGCCCATTAACATCTACAACCATTGAATGAGCTAACTCCAATAACAAGCAAACCAAAAGATTAAGCCAAATATGGGGATGGCGAGCTCCTGTGAGGCATGAAAAGTGGGTGCTATAAATTAGGCCAACAAATAAGATGGTGAAGGCATGTTTCTTAATTTAAGTTCGAACCATTAAAATGGATAAGATATTAGTCATATCGTGTGATAAAATATATAATGGAGACTTAAAGTTAAATTTTATAAAATTCTATGCAAGTCTACTACATTGTATGAATGTTAATGTTGGTAAAAATGTTGTTGATATCTAAGATAATTGTTCTAAAAAATGCGATAGATATATTAAAAAATTAGGAAAGAAAGTCAATGAATGATTATATTATACGAATGATTGGAGTGATATCTATTAGATAAGGTAATTAAAAATAGTATTGGATGGTTTGCGCATAAATGGCAAAATGGCAGAAATCATGCCTATGCCTATTATACGAGTATATAAAATTGGTGTTAGAGGAATAGGAGGAAGGGATTCCCTATTCAAGGAGTATTTAAAGTTGGTCTCAAAGAATTAGGAAGAAGGGGCTCGAGGATTTAAAAATGGTTTCTGAAGAATATACATTTACACCTCAAGCTTCACTCAACAAGAGCAATTGAAAAATGAGGATTCATAGAGCCGATCCCACATAGTTGGAATGAGACTATTAATAATGATGTTGTTGATAAAGTATTTACGCCATCACAAATGACAAATTGATGAAAAAATCATGTACTTCTTACGCTTATATTTTATTTTTGCAATAAAAATTTGTGCATTTCATTATTTTCATGAAACTCTTTGCTTTCTAATGATGTGTTTTTCTTTATATTCTCTCTTTTGTGGTTGTCTATATCTGACATATAGTAAAATTATTCATGATCATTTCTATATGCTTTTATTTTGTATTACTTGTTCCATAATTTTGCATTTTATAATATTCTTTTATGAGGTTTCTCTCATGTTGCTTATTACTTTTAAAAAAAAAATTGTCAAACAATCATGATGGCCTATGAAAGAGAAGCATAAAACTAAGTTAAGTGTTGCTGAGATGAGAACACTTACATGGATGAGTGGCTTTATACTTAGAGACAAAATGCGAAACGAATATATCCGAATATATCCGTGTATCCGTGAAAGGGTTTGTGTGCAGTAGTGACAGACAAGATTAGAGTGTCTTTTTAGGTGTTTCGGTTATATTAAGCGCCTACCATTTGATGATCCTATTAGATGAGTATATGTTTTAGATTTAACTTTTGATAAGAAAGGTAGAGGTAGACCTTAAAAGACTCGGCCATGTTTTATAAAAAAATGATCTTGATCTATTAGGATTAAATGAAAATGTGGCACACAATAGGACACAATGGAGAAAAAGGATTCATATGGCCAATCCAATTAGTGGGAAAAAGGTTTTGTTTTTGTTGTTGTACATTTGCAAATCATGAGTTTTGATGAAAGAGCTGTTTCTTTGATTTGGTTTAACACTTATTTCTCTATTTTTTGAACTGTTGAGTGGACCGAATTTAAAGCATTATTGTATTGATTATTCTACACTTAACCTGTTACGATATCTCAATTTTGCAGATATCTGCTGTATGGAGACATATCTACCAAAGCTGCTCACTTGCTTGGGAAACCTGAGGTAGAAACCCTTAAGCTTAGAGCAGCCCTTGTCTTAAATTAGTTTTATATACATTTTGATTGTGACTTCCGCTCATCTCTGAATCAATCTTCCAGTTAAACATTGTGCTGTATTTTACAGTGCAATTAATATCCAATTTTGCATGGACTCAGGTATCAAATTTCTTTGCAAGGCTCATTCAAAGAGTTTCTCCAAAGAGCTATAAGCAAGCTTTAGGAGAGGTTTTTGTTACCCAGAAGTTCTTAGAGAACTTCTGTGGTGACCAGGTATTAACTCACTTTTCTGTAATATCTAAATTCATACATGACTGAGTTATCATTCTTCTCTGAATATTTTTATTCCATCAATATAGTTGAAGAAATAGCTCATTATCCATTCTTCTAGCGAACAATAACTCCATCCTTTTGGAATAATATGTAAATCTAAATATTACTTTTTTTTTTCTTAGATAGAAAACTTAATATTTGATATAACTATCTACAAGAACTAATTTACAGTTAAACCTTGCTCTTATTACTTCTATTCTTTGCATTGAATTTGCAACCATGGAAGAGCAGCTTTGTCAATCGAACTCTGTAGGCGAGAGATGGTTGATAAAAGAGAGAAAATAATGAGTGCTAATATGCATAAAAATGTTGCAATGATTTCAAGGGATTAAATTCAAATTTTAATATCATACGTTGAAATTCACAATATTAAATATCATGTTTCTACTACGTGCTTACATTCACATGATTATCCTTGTTATTCATATGATAGTGTTTTTCTTGGCTATTCTGACATCAAAATCATATAATTTATCTATAATTTCTTCACCTAGCTAGCCAAATTCATATAACTGAGGCACACTAGACATGAACTAATGCATGCATAAGGGGTTGTTTGGTTGAGTGAATTTGTGGTGTACTCTAATTGTTTTGCATGGATTTAGTATGAAGAATTACAAATACAATATAAAGTATGAATGAATTTGAATTTTACACCGTAGTTCATTTTGGCTGAATTTAGAATTCGATTAATTTGGTCTAATTTTAATTACACCATTCATGTAAAATAGGCAAGCTGCCGCCTCCACCGCCCCCTCCCCCCCCCCCCCCCCCCCCCCCCCCCCCCCACTAGCCAATGCTCGAGAGCTTGCCAAAATTTTATTTTGAAATGCATTATTTTTCAATAAACTTCATTAAAAAAAATCCTTTGTTTATTTTACAACGAACCAAACAAACCAAAAGTATTTTAAAATTTTTTATGATAAAACCATGCAAACTTTTAACATTGCATTTCATTTTCAGCAAACTAAACATCCCATAAATCTGAAATCGACGATTAATTGATTAATTAATCAGGAACCTTCCAATATCTATCATTAGTTATAGGTTACTTATCAAACATGTAGACCGTTGAGAATTGATTAGCTAATAAATTGACAATCATAGAAACATCCCATCATATCGTGCATGATATGCACAACATATTAATAATGCATCATTGTAGTCATGAATAATCCTACTAACATTTCGCTATGGAATCTTAATCTATTGTTGAATCCTTTTAGGACATCAGGTCGCATATCATGCGTGTGTTCATAGGGGAGACTTGTGAAGAAATAATGTTTTGGAAGATGATGGATGTATGCTTCAGAAGTTCTCTCCCTTGATCCTTTAGAAGATTCAGAAGGGAGAGAGAGATAGGCTCATGAGGTCTCTTTAGAAGGAGAGAGAGCCTTCATTTATAATGATCTTCGATGGCTCCCCCTCCATCTCTGAGTTACAAAGATAGATTATTAAATAAGTTTAGTACCGTATGGGTCTATTCATGAAGATGATGTCACAAATGTCAATCTATAAATGGACGTGAATGTTTCTTCGTAAATGATGATCAAAGTACATGTCAAACTTCGATAAATGAGGCAACGAATCATCTGAGCGGTCAACCTTGACAGCTGGGAAGTACCCTTAGACATGTGATGCCGGCAAATCACCTCAACGGGTCAACCTTTGCAGTTGATACATGAGAAATGACGGGCTCCCTAAACCAATTAGGTTTCTTAACCTATGCAACAGCTCATAAGAGCATTTTGACCGGTGTACATGTAGTTCTTCGATTCTTGTCTCTCCGACAGATCACTGCGAGAAGAATAAAAGAATGAAGAATCTAATATCCTTCACCTATTGAAAATATTATGCTCACTATTGTCTCAAGACGGCTGGAAGGTGGTGATATGCTCACCATGCTCTTAACACAGCCAGAAGGTGGTGACGTGCGAATCAATTTTATTTGAGTTTAGATTAACTTTTGCATGGGGTTCACGATTCTCTTTTAGAGACTAATCACTTGAGCTTACTGTCGAGTCTGGGGTGTTGACCTCAATTTTCGTGAGGTCTAGTTTTTCTCGTAGGAGTTAGGATCTAGCCTCAGGGGTCTTCCTGCGACTATCTTAGAACCTTAGAAGTGGTGCCCGCCTCGTTTTAGTTCGACCCGTTTCCGTCCTCTTTTGGAGTTTCGCGTGTGTGGTATCGACTTCTAACGCTTAGAAGGATGAAACCGACATGAGGAAACCCAAAATGGATTCCTATAGGACCTTCCCGAGCCTTAGGGTGGCCTTCTGCACAATTCACACTCCTGCGCGCACCAGCTTCGCGATTCGGAGAGTCGACGCGTCCGATTGCTGCAATTCGCATCGCCTGCACCGTTATTTGCCGAGGACTCGAGTAAACCACTTGTGACGATCGATCGCAGGTCGATTTTTTGTGAAATTTGAATTTCGACGCGTTTTGACC